GCTGCTCTCCTGGGACCCTGCTCTCTGGCCCAGGCAGCGCCTGAGTCACGGGGGGTTGTTCGAGGCCCTGTCCCCAGAGAAGCCCCGTGAACTATGAGCAGGCCGAGTTCACAGGGAGCCTCGGTGCTGCTGGGCTCAGCCCTGGGGTGGACGCTGGCTGAGGAGTCGCTTGGTGCCCTCGGTGAAGCCTGTAGCGTGGAGAGAGGTGACAGTGGTTGCTGTAATGGCCACAGCAGGATGGGGACCGCAGTAGCGGGTGGAGGGAGCCCAAAGCTCCTCCTCCTGCCCAAGCTGCTCGCTGGCTGCCAAGCTGGAGCTTTCTGGTGTGGGCAGCAGCCCCTTTCCTACCGCAGCACACGGGCCTGGCTGCCTCTCACCTGCCGTCTCCTGCCACCGCTCCTGCACATGGTCTTCTCCTGCCTGTCCCCAGCAGCTTGGCAGACATCTCAGAAGCCAGAGGTCAGCACCTCTCTCCTGAGGTGTCTCGAGGCGTAGCTGGGCCAAGGGGAGCTGCCACAGGAGAGGACTGACATTTGCAAATGTGCAAATTTGTACAGACCTTGACTATGGAATGAAACTGTTCTTTTGGTATCTGTTGAAAGGAAGAAAATCTTTCTGTCTCTTGCTGTGTCTGATACCAAGTTCTGTAAATAATGGATCTGTCTGAAGGAATAAAGCTATCCTGTAACAGCCAGCCGAGGGAGGGGTGTGCGAGGGGAGGGGAGCGTGTGGTTGTCCCCGCTGGCAGCTCTTCTGTGGTGCTAAAAATGAGGTAATTTGGGGATTGCAACAACACCAGGAGAAGGAGCTGCTGGTGGGGTAGAGCCTGGTTTATTGACACTGCTCAGAGGGCGGGAGGAGAAGGGGAGCAGCTGCTGCCTGCCCATGCTGCTTACCTCTGCGCAGGGCGGCGGGGGCCCGGCTCCGGCCCGGTTCTGGCTAGAAGTCCAGGGCACAGATCAAGGCCGTGCCCCGTTTGATCCAGTGCTTCTGTGGCTTGTCTGTAGGGATCTCCACAGCAATCACGTAGTTGGTGGAGTGGCCTGTTGTTGACAGCGTGCCTGTAAGGAGAAGCAAGGGGAGGCAGGGTGTACTGCAGCCCTGGCTGCTGCACAGTGACCAGGGAGTCTGACCCCACGTGAGATCCCCTGTCCCATCCCTGTGCTAGGCGGTGACAGGCTGAGCGAAAAAGGAAAAGGAAAAATTTTGGGGTGTGGGCTTGAGGCGAGCCTGGCCGGAGGCACTGCTGCACAGCCAGCGTGCCTGTCTGCTCCATCCCCGCAGAAACTCCGTTTTCCCGGTCTCGGCCAATGATGCCTCGCGCCACGTCAGCGCGTGGCAGGACAAGGAGCTCCTGCAGCCCTCCTGGGCTGCCCTCCCTAGCTGCTTCTCCAGTCTCCTTGGCTTCTGTGGCTCTGTCTTCCGGC